AAAAACTCATCAGGTTCTAACTAAAATAGACGAACTCGAGGGGGAAAGTGGGTCTTACGTGAAATCTTGGAGCAGGACTCTGGCAGGACAAAAGGGCACTTCAACGTTGTTCTGTTTGGCTTGCCAGTCCAGGATATTCATCACATCTCTTTCTTTCACTAGGAAACCATCCCAGTTGCGGACAGCCGTTTCCAACATTACCCGTATGGTGTAAGGCAGGAGATCTGCAAATGGACAGAGTAGCTACATGGCTCGAGGGTAAATCCTGGTGCTGGTATTCCTGCTCTAGGCTTTCTTCTAAATCAGGAAACTTTTGTAAGCAGAAAATGTGGGGATCTCGAACAGAGCAGGGATCTCCAAACATGGCAACTTGAAGAGTGTGGAATTTAGGGAGTTGAACTCCACAAGTCCCAAAGTTTTCAAGCTCAGAGACCCCTGGAGTACAGGGATTTCTGTCTGAGGAGATAAAGAGCAGCGGTGCAACACAATCTGTACAGTTTGTTTAGTGACTGTTCAAAGTTAAAATGGCACTGCGTTGTAAACAACCGGTAATTGAATTGCGTTTCCTTTAAGCATTATTTGGAAATATGCAAAACATTAATAAGCATTTGCTGGTATACTTGGCATTAGTTTTCTTACGGCTAAGTATGGGCCAGGAGTTGAGTCCACATGTCCTGCTCTCGGATATTTGAATCTGGCAACCACATATTCCAACAAATCTATTTAATGTTGCTTACTGAAAACACATGACTTATTGCCAACAGTAGGGACAGCTGTTAATTAGAGAACCCTTCAAAATTAGATTGCTAACTTTATTAAGGATTGCGGTCCAGGTGAGAGCAATTGCCAAGGAGGTAAAGAAATTACTCTGCAGCAATGATTTATGAGAACGTTTGTCTAAGGGCACTGGAAATTTCTGCAAGTCTGTGACACGTAAACAAGCTTGCAACCACCACCTCGGAGAGAAAAAGCAATTATTCTTTTTAATAAGCATAAAGCAAGCCTGTGTTAGTACAGCCACATAATAATTTTTCAGCTCTGAAGGTTGCAAACTATTGCTGCAGGCTTCGCTAGCTTCATTTAAATTAACTGAGTTTTCTAAGGCAGACAAGATAATTTCTCCCTCATTAAGTGATTCTTCAAAGGCTAACCATATAGAAGAAGGAACTGACAAGAATATTTGCAGTTCAGGCTGTTGAGTAAGAAAGAGACATTCCCCAATGTGGTTTCTTATTCCAAAACATACACTCAGGTTGGGCTCGCTTCCGCAGCACATATACGTTACAAAACATGGAACTTTACAAAACATACTCAGGTGACTACCAAATAATTTTACAACTACCTTCAAAGTTTTCAATGTGACAGAGAACCACAAACAGTTCATCAATAACTTAAAGGGCTTTGATCTCCACTTTCAATATTTGTATGGGGAGATTTCACATGTATCAAGGAATCGAATTCATGGTTCAATGCACTTTCATTAGGGAAGGAAAGCAGGATATAAATGAAATAATAAGCACAATTTAAAAGACCAGATGAACAATTCAGCTCCTCTTCCAGAAGACTCCTTACAAATTTGTTTAATGTAAATTAAAGATTTCTCATCCTGGTCACCTTCTAGAAGGAAAGTGAGCAATTAATAGACCCCGTCATACTTTTTAGAGACAGTTTTGCATGGTCAACTATCTGCATCTTGAAAAGTACGTATAGCAAGCAGAATTTCTGTTCTTTTTCTAAAAGATAAGGACGACAGCAGCATGACAACACCCAGCTGAAGCAACTGATAAAACAAAGGTTTTATAATTCTGAGTAAGCTTTTTCCACAGTCCTCTCTGAAATTCATTAAATAGATTCCATTAATTTGAAAATGCACCACTTTCAAACAGAAAGAAAGGGATACACTTGAACTAAGGAAGATAATTTCTGAATGTCTAGTCACCAGAGAGGTTAATTTTATTTTGCCACAACATGTTATAGAAGGGCTTCCTCACAGAACCAACAAAGAACCACCAGAAGTTAGCATAAAAAACACATTAATGGCTCACTGCAGTTACTTTAAAGGAGGCTGTGTCTACTTCTAACTGGAATTTGAATATCCAGGAAGAAGGAAATTAATAACAACTTTAGGCAAACAGTTTACTCAAACAGTTTTAACAGAGAAAACATTTAGGATTACAACTCAGCAGCATAATCCCAAGAATGGTTCAGTAACAAGGCCACCAATCCCCAAATTCATTTTAAGACTACTTAAGAAATTTTAAGGAGGTTAGATTAGGTTTATAATAGAAAGACAGAACTGAAAAGTAGTTTACCATATTTGGTGCCTCCTAGTTTAGCAATGTTGTAGAACTTTTTGTCTGCATTGTCACTCAGTGTTTCAATTAAGTCCTGGAACAGGTGTCCTGAAAAACAAGTCAGATTATTAGTTATTTGATATGTGTTTGTATATGTAGTTGGGTAGGAAGGCTGCAATTCTATCCATTTTTACTTTGAATAATACCCACTAAATCCACTGGAATTTACTATATATAAAAAAACAGTAATAGATTGCAAGACTAAATGTTTCCTGTATTTTTCCTATCAATAATTTGCAGTGGAATGTTACTTTATATGTATTAAATACTTTTATTCTAATTTAAATAGAACTGAGATGCCTCATAATAGATTCTATATATAACATTAATTTTCTTTATACAGGTCTAATTCTGTTTTGGTAAATTGGGCCACATCCAGGTTTAGTCATACTTGGAGGCTGAAAACTATAGAGCTTAAATCTTAAGTAACAAATCCCACTGATGTTGAGCCACTCTCAGTACAATTAAACTTAAGATTTGACTCATTGCCTTCATGATAAATTATATTTAATATTCTAGAGACAAAATCTCAACTTTTTAAAAATAAAATGTTAAAGAGCAAAACATATATTCTTGATGCATAACTAGTACTTGAGGAATTATAAAGTTGTCTTTATCTCCACAACACGGAGAGAACTTTACTTAATAAACGTGGTTTTGGGAAGGATCATACAATTGTGTTTGTGTCTATCAGCAATGCCATTATTCACAAATGCTCCAATGGTACCCAAGGTTTAATGTTAAAACCTTCAGAAGGAAGTCTTGCCTTTAATATGTGAATATATCCCTGAATCCTAGATAGATAAAGATTGTGACCTGCTGGAGACTATTTTGCTTTTAAATTGACACAAAAAAGCACACTTCCCACCCCATCTTCACTTTTTCTGCTATGCAAGAACACTCACATCTTCTGACAGGAGACAGAGCTGGGATCTTTGCTACGGGATGAAGGGATGAAGGAATGTATTGCAGCCAAAGATTAACAGGAGAAAGAAGCCAGTCTCTTATTTTGCTAATCTCTCAATCAATAGGGTTTTTTTTTTGTCCAGTCTCCAATATTCTCATTTGTTGGAGCACCAAAAACGCAGAACTGAATCAAGCCAACATGGAGAGGGAGCATGAAAGTGGGAAGAATGCAGAAGGCCTGCAGATGATGGGACATGTAGCCAAGAGACATGGAAGGGGACGATGGGAACTGTTGTTTAACAGTTCTGGAAATGGAATGAATTATAGCCAAAAGGACAAGGATGATGGGAACCACTGTTTAACAGATCTTAGATGGGGGCGATGGGAACTGTAGTCAAAGGTTCATGGAAGAGGATGATGGGAACTGTTGCTTACAGTCCTGGAACAGCAATGACAAGAATTAAGAGAAATGGACAGAAATGATGGGAACTACTATTTGATAACCCTGGGATGGGGGTGATGGGAATTGTAATCCAATCCAATGAAGGGGAGGATGGAAACGGTTGTTTCAGAGCTGTAACAGGGATGCTGAAATGTATGGAAGGGGATGATGGGAACTGTGCTTTAATAGTCCTGACAGGGCGATGCCAGGAACAGTACCCCAAGAGAAATGGGTCAGGGATGATGGGAACTACTGCTGGATAAACCTGGGATGGGGGCGATGGGAACTGTAATCCAAGGCCCATAGAAGGGGATGATGGTTGTTTCAGAGGTGGCAGGGGGATGCCGAGATGCACAGAAGAGGATGATGGTTTCCTAGTCCTGACAGGAGGGTGCTATACCCCGAGGCAAATGGACAGGGATGATGGGAGTGGTTGTACCCAGCCCTGCAATGGAAGGGGGGGGGATGATGGGAACTGCACCCCAAGGAAAGCAGGAACTGGAGCCCAATGCCCAGAAAGAGGGATAATGGGAACTGTAGTCCCCACACACGTTGTATCTTGAAGCGGGGGGGTCTCACCAAGTTGGGAGGGGAGGGGAAGGGAAGCCAGCGGGAAAGATGGCTGACAGCCCTCCCCTCCCTTTTATCGGGGGGTGGGGGTGGGGGGAAGAGAGGGCGGAGAGGCCGGTCCGGTCTGCCACAAAGGGAAAGGGGCCATTTTGCCACCCTCCCCGCCCCCTTCCCCTCATCGCCACTGACCTGCCCGGGCCGCCTCCATGTTCCTCTCCCGGAGAAGGATGCCACGGGAGTTGTGAGGGGGAGGAAAGAAGAGCCTTGGGGGGGAGGGGGCAGAGCCCTCCCCTCAAAGACCGCGAGAGAAGCGAGGGAGGGAGACAACCGGCGCTCCCCCTCAGCGCCTCCGCCCGGCCCTCCCCGCTCCCTCATTGGGAATCTCCCGGTTCTCGCGAGAGCTCCGCCGCCCGCAAGAAAGGAAAGCGGCGCGAACTCTCGCGAGAAGGCTTTCGGCCTCGGCGCGAGGGGCGGCGCGCGTGCGTCAGTGCCCGCCTCCTCCTCCTCCTCTCCTCCTCCTCTGTCCTCCGGTCAGGGATAGCGGCTCAAGGGAGCGAGACTTCAGGGTTCAGATCTCGCGAGAGTTGCGCGGTTTCCTTTGGCCGCTAGGGGCAACTTCGCCAACTAAGAGGCGGGACCCTGTGTCTTTCCTCTGAGCATGCGTCGTCTTCTCGGGCTCTTGCGATGCTGCAAGGGGCGGAATCTTTGTAACTCCCTCTGAGGGTCGGACGGAAGGATTTGGAAGCCGGACCAGAAGGACCAACTTTGGTGCTGAAGAAGGCATGGCAGGAGCGGGACCCGATTTAAAGTCCCCGGTGCTGAAGCACCGGCGCACGACCCTCGAACGGGGGGAGAAGTTTATTTCGCAGGATTATTTTGTGGATTGCAACCTCCGGGGAAGGTGGGTTGGGGCTGGTCCGTCCGCTAAATCCTTCCCCATCTTTTCCCCAAGTACAGGTAGTCCTCGATTTACAACGGTTCCTTTAGTGACCGTTTGAAGTTGGCACTGAACAAAGGGACTTATGATCGTTTTTCACACGGCCTTGGCAACTGGTTCACATTTGGTTAGACTAGATGACCTACAAGGTCCCTTCCAACTCTGATTAGCTGTTATCTGTATGACGGTTGCAGTATCCCAGGGTTACGTGATCCGTTTTTGCGACCTTTTGCCAAGCAGAATCAATGGGGGAGCCAGATTCACTTAACAACTGTGTGACTAACTTAACAAATGCAATGATTCGCTTAACTGTGGCAAGAAAAGTCGTAAATTGGGGCAAAATTCACTGAAAAAATGTTTCACTTAGCAACATAAATTTTGGGCTCAATTGTGGATGTACCTCGAGGTCTGCCTCTACTGTTACCAAAACGCTGCGATTGTTTTGTTTCAAAGAAAAGAGGAGCAAAATGAGTCAAATTTAAAGGTTTAAGTAGAAGGGCAAATCCAGGATTTAATTGAACTCTCTGTGTTTTACAATTAAGAAGCACAGAAGCCCCAATGTGGTTGCAAAAGGTTGAGTTTTCCTCTGTGGCTGACTTTTGTTTATTTTTAATTAAAGGTGATTTTAGATCTTGGGCCACAAAGGTGCTGGCTTTGAACCACTTGAATCATCTGCATTGAATCATCTGCATTGAATTAGAAGGAAGATGTTGGCTGGGAGCAACCTTTATTTGCTTGTGTCCCTTTGCAAAGAGTTTTAACTGCAGCAATTTAGTTGAAAATTTTAATTAGTTGCTGCCTATGGAAAGCAACACTTGAAGATTTTTGTTGTTCAGGCGACATATAAAGCAGCGTTTTTCAAATTTGGCAACTTTAATGTGTGCCGTAGTAGCGCCTTTCGTGCTCTACAGTGGTGTTTTTCAACCTCACTAACATTGAGCTGTGTAGACATCCTGCCAAAATTCCCCATGTTGGCTGAGGAATTCTGGGAGTTGAAATCCACTTATCTTAAAGTTTCCAAGTTTGAAAACACTAATTTTAATCTATTGCTTATTCTCAAAGGACAAAAAGCCGAAAAAGATGGAAGGAGAGAAAAATCCTCAAATACTTTTAAAAGCAACTGATCAAACATTATAAAGACCAAGGAATTTGCATTGTCTGCTAATCAGTGTTTAATTTTAACCATTGATGACTAACTGAATTGTTGAAATTCACAACACTAACCTTTGGCCAACTTATCCAGAAACTATTCAATCCCATTTTAATTAATTTATAGAAATTTCCCCTGTCACTAGTGGATTATAAAGGTTGGAATTCAACCCACTTTAACACTTGTTTGGGAAAAGTTGCATTTGTGGATCAATATCTTCACTTCATGAATCTGGTCCTAAAAAGGCATGTGCAGATTTAAGTCATGCAAGGTTGAAAAAGGTGCTACTCTGGAAGAGCATGACAAGTTTATCAGGGAGGAATATGTTGTCTTCCGTCTCTGAGAATGTATTATCTTTTGGCGTGCTGTTTCAAAGACATAAAACATTGTGTGTCTTTTACCAGACTGTTTGGTGACACATGTGCATTGGCCTCTCTGTCTTACTTTGAAACTTCTAAACGAATTCCATACAGTGAAGCTATCAGAGAAGAATTCAGCCCTATTAAAGTTGGAGATAGTTTTGGACAGACGTAAGTATTTCCTTATTCAGAGTTGAATTTCCCATCTCATTTCCTAAGGGAACAAAATGAAGGGTTTGTGCTTTAGTTTAGAACAGAGGTGTCAAACGTGCAATGACACATTGTCATTACATGATGTATTGCAACTTTTTTTCCCTTTGCTAAAACAGGGATGGGCGTGGCCAGCACGTGATGCAACCAGCCCACGGGCCATGAGTTTGACACCCCTGGTTTAGAACCACTTTTGGCCTAGTGGTTAAGGCTCCAGGATAGAAAGCAGGAGATCATGAGTTCAAGTCCCACTTTAGCTATGGAAGCCAGCTGAGTGAATTTTGGATCTCTCTCAGCTCAATCCATCTCACAGGGTTGTTGTTGCTGGGAAAATAGATGGAAGTTATTTGTAAAAATAATGCTTCAGGTTGCCAATGTTCAAAGGGTACCACTGTACTTTTTAGTTAATGGAATTTGTGGCATCCTGACAGTTTCAGTGTCACTTTTCTAAGGTGGCACACCTGCTGGTTTAAAGTAGAACTCAGCATTCCCAAGAAATGGACCGGAAAGGAAGTGCATCTTCTTTGGGAAAGCGATGGAGAAGGAATGATTTGGAGGGATGCTCAGCCCATTCAGGTAAGTGACTGTCATAAAATTATCACCAGCTGGATCATTTTTCAGATTCGTTTGCTTTTCACGTAAAAAAAAAAAAAATCACCCCATACTAAAAAGGCAAGTACATGATAAATAGAATGCTAGTCTTTGGGGAAAATGCTGGAGAGAAATATTTTTTTTATAAAAGTATGTGATGGACGTAATAATTTGAGGACCACCTTTATTGGCAATGCAGTCTTTCTATCCCACCCCCCGTCCAACTGTATATTATTTGCCATTATCAGAGTTTGACTCGAGAAGGTGAGAAGACCAGTTACATGCTGACAGACAGTCTAAAGGAGACGGAACCTCATGGGTGAGCCAGTCTTTTGGGCTGCATTACAGAAATAATACTGTACTGCTCTAGCAATTCAGTTGAGATGAACCTGTCAGTATTTTGACTTGGGATAACCATCCTTTCCTGGAAATGCCAGGTGTTGAAAATGCATATAGCCTGCAATTCATAAATCAGCTAACATAAAACAATGTAAGTTGTCAAAATTCTAATGGAAAGGAAAATTATTTGCCAGGGTGATGAACAGGTGATTTTGGGTGGAAAATTTTGCAGTGTCAGGGTAGTCACTGGGAACCTAATCCAGGCCCGTGGATTATAAAACAGAAAAGTATCACGCACCTATTTCCCTTCTGCAGCTTGACCCTCTATCTGGAAGTTGCCTGCAATGGTCTCTTCGGAGCAGGGAAAGGCAGCATGATCGCACCCCCGGATCCGGACAAAACGTTCTCCTTGAATAGAGCAGAGTTGGTGGTTTACAACCGGGATGTCCATGAGCTTCTGGTGGACTTTGAAATCCTCTTGGACATGGCCAAGGTGGGATGTCTCATTTTTTGCCATTTTAATGTATGTGTAAGGTCCTGCCTCAGCTGTCTTCTCGGCCCCTTTGTTCAGTGCCATCGTAATTTTGAACAGTTGCCAAACAAACAGTCATAAGTCAAGGACTGCCTGCAGTTACGACATGGCTATCCTTGTAGGTCTGCATGGATAGCAATAGCACTTAACCCAGGGGTCTTCAAACTTGATAGCTTTAAGACTGGTGGACTTCAACTCCCAGAATTCCTGAGCTTACATGACTGGAGGAGGAATTCAGATAACAGATAATCAGAGTTGGAAGGGACGTTGTAGGTCATCTAGTCCAACCCCCAGCCCAAGCAGGAGACCCTACACCATTTCTGACAAATGGCAGTCCAATCTCTCCTTGAAAGTCTCAAGTGATGGCGCTCCCACAACTTCCAAGGGCAACTTCTGTTCCATTGGTTGATTGTTCTCACTGTCAGAAAGTTTCTCCTTATTTCCAGGTTGAATCTCTCCTTGTTCAGTTTCCATCCATTGTTCCTTGTCTGGCCTACAGTCCACCAGTCTTAAACTTGCCAAGTTTGAAGACCCTTGACGTAGACTTATATACTGCCTTACAGTGCTTCACAGCCTTCTCTAAGTGGTTTACAGAGCCAGCCTCTTGCCCCCAACAATCTGGGTCCTCATTTTACCCACCTCAGAAGGATGGAAGGCTGAGTCAACCTTGAGCCTGGTGGGATTCAAACTGCCAAATTGCAGGCAGCCAGCAGTCGGCAGAATTAGCCTTCAATACAGCACTCTAACCACTGCGCCACCCTGGATGCAAATCTCTTTGATTCTAATTCATAACAATGCATTGTTGACTCAGTGAAGAATTCATTTGCAGAGTCCTCCGAACAGGATATGTTAAAGCACCGCCACTGTTTAGATTTTGAAATTTGAGTTCCAGGTACAACCTTATTCCTTGAGGTTGATTTGAGCCAGCGTAAAATGTATATTTCCTTTCCCGCTTAGCTCCTCGGAGAGGAAAACCAGCGGAGCTTCCAAGCGCTTTACGCGGCGAACCAGATGGTGAACCTGTGTGACGTCAACAACCCGGCAACCTTCCCTGCGGTGCGGGAACTGGCCCGCTCTGTTTTCTGCCAGAAAAACGGAGACAGCCAGCACATCATCCATGCCATGGGCCACTGCCACATTGATACTGGTAGGAACCGTGCGCGGGGTATATATATTCCAGTCTAGGAAAGATCTCCCAGAAGGATGGGAGCGCTTCTACCGGGTCTTCTAATACAGGTAGTCCTCAACTTAGAACAGTTTGCTTAGTGACTGTTCAATCTTATACGGCACTGAAAAAAGTGACTTACGACCATTCTCCACAAAGGTCGTAAGTGTGAAAAACGACCATAGGTCACTTTCTTCAGTGCTGTTGTCACTTTGAATGGTCGCTAAATGAACTATTGTAAGTCAAGGACTATGGATGTGTGTGTGTGTGTGTGTGTGTGTGTATGCATTGCAAAGCACTTAACTTGATTCCTAAGAATGATTTCCAGGCGTTGCGCAATCCTACACATGGCTAAAGCAACTATGAACTAAAAATTAAATTACATTAAATTAAAAGCCATCTTCTTGTCAATCAATAAAAACTTTATTATGGTCATAGATCAGCCCAGAGCAATCTTCTATAAAAGTGAAGCAAATGTCTTTGTGAACCGTTTTGCCTGCAATTGTCATCTTAGCTTGGTTGTGGCCTTACGAAGAGACGGTCCGTAAATGTGCCCGCAGTTGGGTAACTGTCATACGCCTGATGGAGAAGAACCCAGACTTCAAATTTGTCTGTTCACAGGTAATTGATGTATATATATGTGCCCATTTTTAAATGTGTTCATGCATGTGAACCGTAATGTGGTTTCTTTGGGGTTTGGATTGGGTATGAATCCTATTATCGTGGGCTTGGATTTTGGCTTAGAATGTGTATGTGGTTTATTCAGTGAAACACGTAACCATGTTTTAAATCCCCTATAATCTTCTAATTTGCTTGCTTAGATCAGGGGACTCTAAACTTGGCAACTTTAAAAGTTGTGGCAACTTTAAAACATGCCTGGCTGAGGAATTCTGGGAATTGAAGTCCATAAGTCTTCAAGTTGCCAAGTTTAAAGATCCCAGGTATAGATCAACGAAAAAACTATATGAACTAGCAACTTTTTGGTGTGTAAACTGCAGCTAGGGTGAAATGACATCATGTATATGACGTTTCTATTGCTTTTTTCATCGGCAGGCCCAGCAGTTTGAATGGGTGAAGACTTATTACCCTGGCTTGTATGCTACCATTCAAGAATTCGCAAGAAGAGGACGCTTCATACCGGTCGGGGGAACCTGGGTGGAAATGGTAAGCAATAGCACTTAGACTTATCTACCGCTTTACATTGCTTCACAGCCCTCTCTAAGCGGTTTACAGAGTCAGCATGTTGCCCCCAACAATAATCTGGGTCCTCATTTTACTGACCTCAGAAGGATGGAAGGCTGAGTCAACCTTGAGTCGGTCAGAATTGAACTCCTGACTGTGGGCATAATTAGCCTAGTCTACAATAATGCATTCTAACCACTGGGAGGGAGGGAGGGAGGGAGGGAGGGAGGGAAGGAAGGAAGGAAGGAAGGAAGGAAGGAAGGAAGGAAGGAAGGAAGGAAGGAAGGAAGGGCTACAGCAATGGCACTTAGGCTTATATGCCACTTCACATGGCTTTTACAGCCCTCTCTAAGTGGTTTACAGAGTCATCCTCTCGCCCCCAACAATCTGGCTCCTCATTTTACCGACCTCGGAAGGATGGAAAGCTGAGTCAGCCCTGAAACAGTCAGGATTGAACTCCTGGCAGTGGGCAGAGTTATGGAAGGAAGGAAAGAAGGAAGGGAAGGGAAGAAGGAAGGGAAGGGAAGGGAAGGGAAGGGAAGGGAAGGGAAGGGAAGGAAGGAAGGAAGGAAGGAAGGAAGGAAGGAAGGAAGGAAGGAAGGAAAGAAATAGCAATAGCCCTTAGACTTATATACCACTTTACAGTCCTTTCCAGCCTTCTCTAAATGGTTTACAGAGTCATCCTCTTGCCCCCAACAATCTGGGTCCTCATTTTACTCACCTCGGAAGGATGGAAGGCTGACCCAACCTTGAGCCTGGTGAGGATCGAACTGCCAAATTGCAGGCAGCCAGCAGTCAGCAGAAGTAGCCTGCAGTACTGTACTCTAACCACTGCGCCACCATGGCTGCATTTTGTAAGGCTGCATTACGGATGGTCCTTGCTTACTGACTTCTCATTCAGCGACGGCTTGAAATTATGACTATGCTGAAGAAAGGGACACATGAAATCCTGCCATCACAGCACAGTCAGAATAACCTGGACACAATTTGGACCGGCCTGCTTTTATGGCCATCCCTCCTTGCCTCCCCCAGCTGTTCTTTGGCCTTGTCTGTTCTTTAGCCTGGATGCAGCATGTGAGGTCAGATATGGAATGAAAGCGGGTTCTGTAAAACATAGAAGAGTGATATTGCCAAACCCTTGTGATATTCAAGATCTCAAGAACCACAAATGGCAGATTTAGGCTAATGCTAGTTGTAGCAACATTGGGTGGAAGGTCATTGGTGAGCTGAGGTTTGCTACTGATGTGGGGGATTCAGTTCTCGGTCTAGAAGAGCAACGGGGAACTTATGCCCCTTTTATGGTCTGTGAACTTCAACTCCCAGAATTCCTGAGCCTTCCCAGATTGTAAAAGGACCATAGTTCCCCACTCCACTCCTGGTGTAGAAATACGGATGTTTTATTCCCTCCCAGGATGGAAACCTTCCAAGTGGAGAATCCATGGTTCGTCAGTTCCTGCAAGGACAGCGTTTCTTCCAGCAGGAATTTGGGAAGCTGTGCTTAGAGGTGCATATCTATTTATACTCCTTCTTTCCTGACTTCCTCGTGCTTCCCTAATTCTCTTCGCTCCTGGTGGAATTTTTGTAGCCTCAAATCCCAAATCAGAACCAGTGCTGTCCATTAACTTAAAATGTTGTGGATAGCAGTAGGGACCGTAAAGGACTACGGTGCCTGGTCCCAAGGAATTCAGCTCACCCTCTGCATAAATCCTGTAGCAACCAGTGAACTAAATTGGCAAGCTGGAGATTGAAGGATATTTAAATTCACCCTGTGCTCTTTGGTAGGACAGACCAAAGCATCACACTTTTCCATAATTATATACCATTTTTTGTTTAGATTCTTAGTGACTGTCTGGATAACCCCCTGAGTTTTCTTGGCAAGGTTTTTCAAAAGTGGTTTGCCATTGCCTTATTCCTAGGGCTGAGAGAGAGTGACTGGCCCAAGGTCATCCAGCTGGCTTCGTGCCTAAGGCAAGACTGGAACTCACCTCTTTGGGTTTCTAGCCTAAGGCCTTAACCCCTACTATCCCTCTCCATAATTATATAAGCTAAACTGAATTTCCTCATCATTCTGCACTGCCGAATGTCAATTCTGCAGTGAATCCTGTTTTTCCTACGATTCACATTTTATTCTCAGCTTCTTCTATAGATTAACTGCCAGCGCTTCGCAGACAATGTCATTTTTTTTTTCCTTCCCCAAACCAGTTCTGGCTGCCTGACACATTTGGTTATTCAGCACAACTGCCACAAATCATGCGTGGCTGTGGGATACGTCGTTTCTTAACTCAGAAGCTGAGTTGGAATCTGGTGAACACTTTCCCGGTAAGATTTATGTTTTAATTCACATAAACCTGGATGCAGGGACCTGCTGATCAGTGGTAGGTCTCGCCTTGATATTAGTCCAGTATTTATTTCAGGACCAATCCCATTAAACTCTTTGAGGGCTAGGCTGTTTATTGGCCTTTTGCAATCTTCTCTAATAGCACAACACCTTTTTCTGGGAAGGCATGGATGGATCCCAGGTTTTGGTTCACTTCCCTCCTGCAGATTCCTATGGATTGTCTGGTCATGTGGATGAGGTGAGTAAACCCAGGAAAATCAATTTTCCATCTTCACAGCAGAAGAAACAAGCCCAGTGAATTACCGCTTTCTTTGAAGGCAGGAAATGTCAAAATATCGGGTGAAGGGGCGATCTGCCCTCATCCTTACCATCCCTCTCTCCTAGATGTTGAGAACGGTGAAGAATAATAAGGACAAGGGCCGTGTGAATCACAGTGTCGCTCTGTTTGGGTTTGGAGATGGAGGAGGGGGCCCCACACAGAAGATGCTCGACAGGCTACAGAGAATGAAGGATACCGATGGGCTACCCAGGTTGGTTCCTTTTGGCTAAACTCTAGAAACAAACCAGAAACAAAGCCAAGAAAATAAAATTCTGTACTTGGTTACTCATGCCTTAGAGCAGGGATCACCAAGCTTGGCAACTTTTAAGACTTGTGGACTTCAAACGCGGAGAGATTCCTGCCATAGAGCACTGTTTCTCAACCTTAACCCATGCTGGGTGGGGAATTCTGGGAGTTGAAGTCCATCTTAAAGTTCAGAAAATATGCCTTAGAGAGGAAGCTCCTTAAATGAATGCAAGACCAAGATTGTCATGGTTGGGGTGTTTTCTGCAGTGGTGATTTTCTTTCACACAGGGTCCAAATGTCTGTCCCAGATCAATTTTTCTCTGCCCTGGAGACGGAAAAGGCTCAGTTCTGTACTTGGGTTGGAGAGCTGTTTTTGGAACTGCATAATGGTACCTACACAACTCACGGGCAGGTGAGAGAACGCCAAGACTTCATAGGAAGTTTTTTTAGAAATTTCTGTTAATGCTTCACTGCGGGCTCCAGGATTCAAAATGATACCTCTTGAATGTATCTATTAATATTATGGTTCATCACACAATTAGTCAGAGGTTTAGACTGGATTTGCCGTTTTTATGCACCTGTCAAGTCCTTCTCAAAGACCTGTGATAGACAGATGCTGTTTGATGGTGTTAAAGGAATGGTTGCAGGATGTAAGATGTTCTGAGTTAAGCTGCCTTTTGCAATTGACTGGTGGTGACTTTTGTCAATTCCCTCCCAAGCGAGCTGCCTTTTGCAATTGACTGATGGTGACTTTTGTCAATTTCCTCCCAAGTGAGCTGCCTTTTGCAATTGACCGATGGTGACTTTTGTCAATGCGCAGTAGGATTTCTAACCTGCTTTCCTTCCCTAATGCCTCTTTTTTCATTTTTATTTCTAAATCGCTGGACATTTTGTACAAAATCCTATTTTCCCTCTGGATTCAGATTAAAAAGGGAAACAGGGAATGTGAGCGTTTACTCCATGATGTCGAGATCCTGAGTAGTTTGGCTCTGGTGCAGAAACGTTCCTTCCAGTATCCTTCTGCTCAGCTTCAGCACCTTTGGAGGTATAAACTTCAAAATGCAAAATTTTGGTCTTTTGTAGAATATAGAATGCTTGTGGAATTAGGACTGGTTCTTCTAATGGCCAAGTAGGCCACACCTCTCTTTTTTGGCTGCAGGCTGCTGCTCTTGAACCAGTTCCACGATGTCTTACCAGGCAGTTGTATCCAGCTTGTAGTAGAGGATGCCATGCGGTACTACTCAGGTGAGAAGGAACCCAGCCTTGAGAATTGGTTTCGTTCCCTGCCAAAGCTCAGGGACCATAAATGGCCATTACAGTCCTAAGGCTGTGCTGCTTGGCTTAGTTTGGGAGAGGTAGACTGTGTGTCAACTTGTAAAGCATTCCTGTCTTGCTCTCAAGTTGCCATAAGAAAGGCAGGGGGGAGGAGATCTGATGGAGTAGTTCGTTGCTACGACCAGAAGCACATTCCATGCATACCTTTCTCCAGATTGTGCCTCAAGTTACCAAGCCCAGCCAGAGAGGAGTGTTTTCTACAGCTGGCAAAAGTGCTTAGTTGGAGAATGTGATTTATGACGCACCCTGGGAGGAGGGGGGGAAACAAGGTCATAGGTGGGCAGTAAATTACATAGGGCAGAGCCGACTGCACTTGGGAGAAATGCCGACATGTTGCTCCTAATAAATAATTGGATTTCTTTTGAAACTTGGCTCGAGGCTCGTGAATTAATTAGGGCGTCCCTCGGAACCCTGACACTGTGACTCAAAATGCCAGGATCAGTTTTGACGTTCTGGTGATTTAGTGCCAGTCCTGATGGACAACCATGGTGGTTATCTGCCTCCGTGGTTCTGCTCAGCAGAAGGTAGCGTTCTTCCTTTTGGTAGAACCTTGATAACTAGATTGTGAGATCCTGGGTAACAGGGCAGAGGAAAGGTCTATACGAGAGCTACGAAAGAGGCGTAGATTTATAACTCTGATTTAATCTCTTCTGCAGCATGCGCTAAGGCTCCAGTTTCCTTTGCTAATATACATCATTGCCATAGCTCATTCGGAATGTGGGCACTCCTTTGATGGGAGTCCTTTCTCTCTTCCTCTCTTTCCGTCAAGAAATCTGCAGTTCTGGAGCCCAGCTTCTAAAAGAGGCCACCCATTCTTTGTGCACACAAATGTTGGCCAGCAAGGACAAGAGCAGCGATACCGTCCTGGTTGTCAACACTTTGCCATGGGAAAGAACCGAAGTCGTTTCCAGAACTGGACCACAAGGACCTGAGACTTTAGGTGCCAACCCTGCTTCAATTTTAGGCTTGTTCACAGCAAGAGTCCCTACCCACAATGCCTCGGGCACCTTAAAAAAAATGTACTTTTCTTTAGATTGATTGGGAACCAGTTCTCAAAATATCTAATTTCTCTGTCTCCTTCTGTGCCTTTGAATACCAGCTTTGGTGACAGTTCCCAGCCTGGGCTTCTGTGCTGTTCGAGAGTCATTCTCTCCTCCACATCCTGTGACCGTCAACAAAGAGGTGAGCTTGTGTGAACCTTTTTGAGGGTCTGTTGTAACTTTGAATGGTTGCTAAGTGAGGACTACCTGTACAAAAGCCAGAGAATGACTGCCTTTTGAGTTATCTCAGGTTACGTTACCACTGTTTTTAAAGATGGTGATAATATGCTGTGAGGGTATGTGAGAAATACCTTGGGAAACAGGTCACAAAACTGCCCAGGGAAGGATCAGATAAGAGGCAACACAGCCCCCAGCTGCATTATGGGCGGAGAAAGAGGCTTAGGAAGGATCCTTTCTAGTTTTTGTGGGGTTTTCAATGAAATGTTGGGAGAATTGTACTGTTGGATTTGCAACGTTCAGTTGGGGTTGCCTTGTTGAACGACTGCAAATATGGCTGCTCAGTCCAC